ACAAATTTGTCTGCTCTTGGCCTCAATCAGCGATCCATCGATTCAGACCAACAGAATACAAACAGTGTAAATCAAACCATTAGAAACAACGGAAAATTGTATAGATAGATCACAAATCACAACTCCCCTAAAATCCAACATAAACACCTCCTCTACGATGTTTGGTGTTTAGTAAAAAGCGAAAGTTGTTTATAAAATGATTGAACTTTCCATGACTTGAGTGCGGTAATAGGTGTGCTAATATGGTATTACAATTTCATTTCATTTTATATAGTGGATAACTCTTTATGTACAAAGTTAGATAATTTGAATTGTTTTATCTGTTTATTAATTCAAAATATTATCTATATTTATAATTTTTTAAACTGTTACCTTGTAATATTTATATTTGCTTGTTAATCTTATATTTAATTTTGACAAAATCTTTTTATGCCTGCATGTTCTTTGACTTCCTCTATATCCAACGGTTGTACCAGCCTGGATTAAGAGAAATGAAATAAATGAATGAATAGATGTGCTTAGCTACTGACCTCGGCAGTAGTCAGAGGTACTCGTACTCGTCAGAGGCTTCGTACTCCGGGCACTTCACCCCACGGTACCCCCTGTACATGAGGCTAGGGGGCCCTAGTGCCGGTCTGGACGACATGGGCAAGAGGAATTCTTGACCCTAACGAGACTCGAACTCCTCAGTTGTCCAGCCCGTAGTCAGTCGCTATACCGACTGAGCTATCCCGGCTCCTAAGGTAAAGTTAACAGGCCGTGGAGACGTCGAGGCTCCCACATTTTCTAGACAGTCGGCTCACAGACTACGGTGAGTTGTCAGCCTCGCGCGCCGGCCGCCCTTACCCTAAGGATGATTCATGATATTCATTTTTGTTTGAGGCTGAAGCAACCCCAGGGCCACAGTTGCAGCTGAAGAATTCGTTCAACTGAAAAAATTCAATGATATCGGGAAGCGAAACAGCGACCTTCAGGTTTGTTATCACAGTGCCTCAGGCCTGTTTATGCGAACTTCGCAAATATCGCATCGTAACAGACAGGAATAGAAGTAGACGGGCTTCCGAGCACACTCCCATGGTATTTGGCTGGGGGGACTGCAGGAATGCCAGTACCTGTCAAACATCCCGCTAAGCCAACTGATGTGCTAAGTCAACTATGAAGGTAAAGGTAAACAGTAAATTTATCTCTCGGCTTAATTATTTAAGCACCACGCCATGAAGACGCAAGGGGGGCCTGGAGGTATAGCTCCATCAGTCTTAATGTCTGCACTAAACAAAGGCATGTCAACTTCACAACCAGATTCTAAATATCAATCTTTTTACATATTTTAATCTTAACATTGTTGTGCGTCTGGCAGATGTCGTGTGGGCGAATTGCCATGAGGCTCAAGCATGCAACCATAGTAACGCAAACTTCTTCCACCCTCGATAACTTCAGTTTTCCAAACATGACGTTGAACAGACAGTAATTAAGTTGCACTAATCCTTCCCCAACAAATTCGTTTTAACTCCTCATCCACCAAAATTTGTACTGATCTGATAATTTCCTATGTCTGGGTATTGTTCTACCTCAGCCAGTAACTGCATGAAAGTCTGAATCTTATGCCAATGTTGTTTCCTTGGATTCTAATAATATCTTGATGCAGTGGCTACCTTTATGCTAACTTACAGCATACATCATACTCAAAGCATGTCCTGAACAATGCCTCAAACAGTCAAATCCTGTTCATCTCTTCCACAGGTCACACTGACAAAAAAAGTATGAAGACTTCCAGAGATTAACTTTCAAAGCACTGCCACATGCAAGAACAATGCACTAAAAACAAATTCCAGTCTTCTTCCTTCCAACTTCCATTTTGGCTCCAGGTCTTTCTCAAAAATGTTGCGGAGGTTTACCACCCCAAAATACGTTAATGACAGGAAACAATGTATACCATTCAGCCATATTTCTACATCAGACGTCATGTCCACTGGGCTTCAAATACAGGAAACAGACAAGCACTGGCAGGGTTGAATGGTGCAGAACACAGGAAGTACAGCATCAAGCATTAAGACAATTTAATAATTAACTGGAAAGCATGTGGCAGTAAGAAGTGATACGCTGATATTCACAGACGGCAGGTACATGTCCGTCACACAGCAAGGATGGGTGGATACAAGGGACACAGGCAGGTACATGTCCCTGTCACACAGCAAGGATGGGTGGGTACAACGGACACAGGCAGGTACATGTCCCTGTCACACAGCAAGGATGGGTGGGTACAAGGGACACAGGCAGGTACTGTCCCTGTCACACAGCAAGGATGGGTGGGTACAAGGGATACAGGCAGGTACATGTCCCTGTCACACAGCAAGGATGGGTGGGTACAAGGGACACAAGCAGGTGCATTTCAGTCATCCTGCTGACCAGGATGTACAATACAACACACAGAAAACATCTAAATACCAGAAACAATAACACAAATTTCAAGTACAAGTTACACTACGACAGACAATAGGAAACTGTACATACACACATAGACATGTTCTTCACATGATAGTTACATACAAGGCATATAAAACTACAATTACATGTACACATAAAGAAGTACAAAGAATTTACAGTTATACAACTGACTGCAGTCTGATAACAATGTTTTGGCAATGTACATTCATAACAGGGGGTTCTTAAGGAAAAATTCACGTAAGACACTAATTATAGGAGAGAAGGAAATTAAAGAAGAGAGTTTAAGGATAAATATATTTTAAAATAAATTAAATAACAACATATTATGAACATGTTTAGGAATGCACACACACATAATCACAAAGATTGTTGTGAACGCGCACCTAAACTGAAGATGCCTAATGAGAGGCCAAGGTGAGCCCATAAAAATGGAAATGACACATGAATAACAAAACTGAGTTAAACAATGGGGCTCCCTTATTCCACCACAAAGTGTCTTGCTTTCATGAACAATCTTTAAATGTCACTATTACAGATTAGTCTGCTACCAAGTACAAATAAGACAGTTCTGTTGGGTGTAAATTTTAATGTGGAAACAACTTTACAATATGGTGACCACACACACACACACTCTCTGAATTTGAGGTTTGTATAGTTATTAGATCCCACATGGACCATCACAGCTGACCCAGCTATACACTGAAGGTTAAAGTTATCTCTGTAACAGGCCATGGAGCCCATGTGGTTGTGGGACATTGAGGCTCCCACATTTTCTAGACAATCGGCTCACAGATGGTGGTAAGGTTGTCAGCCTTATGCGTCGGCCGGCCACCATTTACCCCATGAAGATCCCTGGTACTAGTTTCTGTTAGAGGCTGATTTGACACAAGGTCCACAGTGCTGCTGGAAGGATTATGCCAATTGGAAAACCACTGACCTCATCGGGAATTGAACCTGTAACCTCCCAGCTTGTAGCAGTCCCTCAACCAACTACAATACTGCGTGCCCCCCAACCATACTAGTTCATAACTACATCTGTTTTATTTTAGGTTTCCATCCTTAATGTAAACCAATCTAAATTACCAAACAGTACTGGTCACCATACGGCTAACCATCATCACTGCTTGTCAGCCATTGGGCCATGTGTTTCATGCCAATTCTTCAGTGGTCTTCCTACAGTCCCCTTCCCTTAGGCTTCCATGCTACTATCTGTTGCCCATCTTCTCACACAGTCTTTCCAATCTGTTCAGTACTTTTCTGAAAATTTGATTTGATACACCTTTAATTTGTTTCAGAGGTAACAATTCAGTTAATGTGTGTTGTCTGAATCTGAATTTATTTATGTTCCACAGATCCAAGTACAGGTTGACACCATAGTATATGGAACAAGTCAAGTACAGATACATAATACCTGTACAATAATACATAGTTTTGCTTGAAGAGTTAATAAGATTATAATACAATATTAATATTGCCATACTAACTGAATACATGCAGCACTGCAAATAAGCAAAATGATACAGGAACATGCTTGAGAATACAGTTCAGCTTAGAACNCTCAAATCTTACATAGTTACTGTTTGTTTACACTGAAATATTAATCTATGGAGTGGAAAGAGAAAGTAACATCTCAAAGCTGTTTTAAATTGCTTAATATTACCGGTTGCTTTTCTGAAACTTTGAAGGAGGCTGAAGGAGTGAACTCCTTTTTGATACAGAGATAGATTTGCTGAATGTTGGTGGAAGTTGTTTCTCTGCCTTATGTTACGGATGTCAGAATTTGGATTCTATATGTTCTGTTGTCCACCACAAATAACATGAGTGACAGTATGTACTGCGAGTGAAACGGTAATATTTTTAAATAAATAAGTAATACATATATTAATTTTGAGTATATATTAATCTACATTTACTGGAAAAATGAAATAGACAATAACACAAACGTTAACATTTGTGTAGTCTTCTAATTGTAATAAACAAACAGGTTAGGGTTTCCTTAACGTATTTAAACCCGATTGGAGGGATTAATTCTGAATGCAAAGATTTCTACTTCCTAAACTACATAATCCAATTGTACTTACCTCGTGTCAATTTTTAACCTAATATATAAACTACAATGCAATCGCATTTTATGTGCAGATGTGTTCCTGACGACCCCGCATAATTCAAGGCAAGTTTCCTCATTGGAATAAATGTTATGCAATGAGGATTTTGGGAATTTGCATTATTTCAAACTGCGCATAAAGTGAGTCTTTTATTGATATTTTTATATCACACTATTTCAAACCCGCATAAAGCGCCACCGCACTGTACACGGGTGTTAAACTGTTATTAGTATGAATAAACAACCTGTTGCCGGGTAAAACATGTTTTTAGACATTTCTTGTGTCCCCCATTTCCGACACAATCCTATAAAAGCACGGCAACGATAACAGTTTTCAAAAGTTCAATCAATGCAATAACTATTTACAAAAAAATATATATTATACAGGCAACTTTCATTCGCGCACGCACACACACACACACACGATATTAAGAATATAAATTACACTTACATATATGAGGCCGGAGTAATATCGATCTTTCAGGTTATGGAGCACTGATGCCTCGTTAAGGCAAGTCAATTCGGCCATATCTTCCACTTTGTCGAATTTGGGCGGATTCATTTTCTGGATGTCATCTTTGGCAACTAGTTGCCGTTTGCCGGTCTCTACAACCTCAACCTCCACTTCGTCGCCACGTTCGCCTTTGATCCCGGCCGCCACAAAGCCATGAGATTCGTGGGGAACCCACACTAACCTTTTCTGCGTCCATTCCGCTTGGGTGGCAGGATCATTGAACATATTTCTGTCAACAGAGAGGTATTTCAACTCCGGATCAGACCGGTCAACTTTCGGGTCACTATCCGCCATATTGAAGACTACAGGGGCCTGACGAGTGGAGATTAATGTTTCTAGCTGGCACCACACTGATTGTACACTCGCCGAACAAATTAAAACCCTTTCACAACCTCCGTAACGTTACTGAAACTCTGAAGGATAATCAATCGCAGGAAACACACAAGTCCTTGCTATCTACACAACACAACCAAACTTTTCTTAACACAGTCCATGAGGAGAGAAAGTCGCACTTCTACTTGCTTACGAAATGACAGTTACAGTGCAAATGAATTTGCATTGCCGGCCGACGCCCGCTATGCCCGCTTATGCTCAGATCACGTGACGAAATAAATTTCTACCGCCAGAGAGCACTGTAATAGGGTCTGGGTTGCATGGAGGTATAAATTTCAAAGTGTACTTACGTAACACTTGTAATCGAAATTTCACAATAACACTCATTTCCGGTTTTGGGGTCAGGATTGCAAGGAGGTAGAAATTTGAAATTGTACGTACGTAAAAGAGGTAAACAAACTTTAACTTTGCTATTCATTTCCGGAAATGATAACATTTCTAAGATTCTCGATACGATGATCTTGAAATATTTTTCTGTAACGTAAATGCTACCTTCTCAACAATTAAATGGTTTTGTGTGATATGGCAGAATATTCGTTTTACTTATCTGTAATCCTAGTTACAAAACGTTACATAACCATTTAAGTAAAAATAAAGCAAACACAATCAACGCTGAATCCATATTAAATTTCGCGCGGAGAAAATAAGATTAAGCAATGACATCAATACAACTTTATCAAATGTAAAATGAATTGTTCTATGTTTTGTTTGCTATGACGCAGTCGTATGATCGCGCCCTCAGTTTGAAGACTACGTAGAACAAACTTGGGAGTTAACATACACACGATTTTGTAATAATTTATCTCCGCTGCTCGAAGCAAGCATGTATAGTAGTTATATACGCCAAAACTTTCCCTTCGTGAGTTTGTGACTCTTCTGGAACACGAAACTTCACCGCAGGCCACGGACCTTCTGTTCATAAATGTCATATTTAAACCCCTAATTTCAGTACATATACACATGATTTATAAACAAATTAACTGCAGCTGCACCAAATTATCTCGTGACACTTTATCAAACACATATGTTAATCATTTGAGATATAAAGAGCAACCATATGTACCAGCATGCCATAAATTACTATTGGCAATGTTGGTTGTGTGATTATTATGATTACATGTGACCTCAAATAGCAAAGAGGCATATTGGCGCCATTTCAAAAATCGCTTGGTCCAGATTATGCCCACTAACAGATGTTGGGTGGACGAAATTCGCTTTACATCTCTGTAACATTAGTACAATTACTGTAAAAGGTTAACGTAAAAGAGAGCAAGTTTTATGTATGTGGTGTCCTACATGGCAACATGACGTGACCAGAACGTATGATTAATTAAGTATGCAATGTTAAGCTTGGGGGTGGGGGAGAAAATGGTAAAGCTATCCGTGAAGACTTACAAGGTTATGAGACATCAAGGCTCCCACATTTTATAGGCAATTGGCTCACAGATGGCACTGAAGTTGTTACCTGTACAGACCGGCCAACCCAACCTTTACTCGCAGGAAGATTCTTGGTGCTCATTTCTGTTAGAGGCTGAGTTGACACTGGGGACTTAGTGAGGTTGGGAGGATCAGGTCAATTGAAAATTCCATGACCTCCTTGGGAATTGGGCCCACAACCTTCCAACTTGTAGCATACCGCAGGCTCCATGTATGATTAACGACAACAATTACAACCATTGATATGTGTTATCTAATCTACAAGTTGAATTTTCTTACCCTGAGAATCCAAATTCAAATATGTTGCTCTTCCATACAAATGCACTTTAAAAATATAAATTCCTCCATTCCTTGTCCATAAAATCAACTGTGTTTTAACATTATAAATATATATATATATATATATGTGTACACACACACACACCAGAGGACACAGTGCAATTTATACATAACAAATTAATAAACAAACATCCCTTGTAGACTATAACATTTAGATAGCCCAATGTAAGAACCGTGTGGCTCTAGTTCTGGTCAAAGTTTATTTTTATAGTTCCATCTTTATTGGTGGAAGAACAACTGTGTGGCTCAAGCAATTAGTTATATTATTACACAGAAAATGGATACACATTGTATAGTGACTGTAATTTCATTACTACTTTTTGTTTTCCAAAAGTGTGTTGAAGTGGAACTACATCACTTATGCACTGGACCCTTCAGTTACGTTAAGAATTCATCTGAGAAAACCCATAAATTTGTTTCCAATCAAACTTTTGTATTCTGACAGCTAACTTCAATCCTTTTTATTTACAAATAATTACTCATATGTTCAGACATGATTCCCCAGTGAGGAAAATGGTGATATCTCTTTGTATCCAACAGGGGTCAGTAACTGAGACTGTAGTTCCTTTGCCATTAAACTTCACCCCTAAATACAAATGACAGGGTGATGGGCAGGAAGATAGAATGATGTACCTTAGTTTATCGAAACGAGCCTTGAAGTCATGCATTGGTGGTGAATTCAAAACATGAAGCAGGATTCAGGATTTTGTCAAATCAATTAAAATACAAAAGAACACACAGCACTTGGGTGAACTGTATACTGTTTTTGACTATACCTGATTTATAAATGTGGTTAGATCTACTACTGTTACATCTTTGAGAGTGCATCATCATTAGGTGCTGGCATAGATCAGTAGATCATCACTGGAAAATATTTGGGAACTAAAGAAATAAATTTAAATTCTGTTGTGATTTGCATCAAAAGTCATGCAGTTATGTCCAAAATTTGATTAAGATAAAAAATGTTTTATTTTCCAGTTTCACATGTTGCTTCTCACTTGTTCCCTTTACATTACGTCGTTCTCTGTGTGTTGATGTTATATTTGTAACGTTTAACTGCTGTGTGGGGTACCATATTCTCACATGTGAGTTATACAGGCTATACATTTTATTACAGTTCCGTTCAGAGTTGGAAATGGGTCAGAAGAATAACCAACAAGTTTAAAAGAAAATTATTACAATGTATGTTTGTGAATTTCTTCCTATATGTATTGTTGCTGGGAACAGTAGTTATGACATCTTAAAGCACTCAGGGACTAAGCAGATGTGTCTACCTGGCCCTAATACCAGGTTTGTTGTGATGGGAGTACTTTATGCATAGTGATAATATTTAAATTTGCTTAGATTATGATTTTCATGGTTGCAACTGGCATTCTGAAGACGTTCCATCGTGGTACGTGGCACATGATTTTGCAAGATGTATATCCAGTCATTTCTATTACAGTCTCTATTACACAATAATTGGGATCTTTCTTTTCTGAAGTAACATTATATACGTTAGCTTTTAGAGGACTGGAGCCAGTTAGAAGCAAGTTATGCATTAATGGTAGGATACTGAACGAAATTAATATTTTTCATTATTTAGGGTGTAATATATCCTATGAAGGAGAAAAGGATCTTAATGCAAATTTTCTCAAAATGCATGCCCTTCTGGACTGTAAAAGAAATATGATGGAACTACAAATTCCAGAAATATCAGAATTTATAGAATGCAGAATGCTCCAGCTCTTGTACTGAATATGCCACCTCCGTATTCTGCGTAAGAACAGGACGGCAGTGGCACTCGCTCACCCTGCTTGCTTCAATCCTGAAGCTGAAGGCAGCACTGCCTGCATTCACAAAATGCAAAGACCCCAAGAGCAGAATGAATGTAAGAATAACCCAGCACTGAAAGCCTGAAATCAGTAAACACAGAAGTTGAAAAGAACACATCGGCAGGGTTGCAAACAGGATCTGGAAATGCCAACTGAAAGGGAAAGTGTGTTTGAGAAGACCTCTGAAATGACAGAAGAATCCTGTATTTAATATCTACAACAGACCTCAGTAGGCCTAATCCTGGAAAGGGTGACGATATACAAGGTGAATCGTATAGAACCGGCCCGATGAATTTGCCAATAATTCCGCAGGTGATGCATATAACCGCTCACAATTACGACAATAATCCTTGGGCCGTGCTGAGTCGAATGGTGTGTGTATGATCTGGCAAGTGGCAGCCCTTATGCTGCAAGGTCAAGGACAATGCCGAAACATGTCTGCAGTGCGCAGGCGACAGTCATGCAGTATACTGTTGAACAGCGAGTGTTCCTAGTGCCTACTTGAAAACGGCGGACGCTTTCAACACCTGCTCTGATCACGGCACACAATTCAAGATAAGATATGTGTAAATTACTTTAATATCTGTATGGTATATTTTATATTACAGCTCATTTCATCAGGCTGGTTCTATATGAATCACCCTGTACCATATACTGTGGTAGCTTTCATAGTTAATGTTTACCAGTTAAAAATGCAGATACACTTGATTATGAATACTTGGACTTTGTTCATCAGCAAGAACTATGCATGAGCACTTTGAATGACTGTATTATCATCAATCAGCAGCATGCCTAAGTACCTAATATAGTATGACCACTTCGACCTTGGGCATGTTTCTTATTTAGTAGTCTCTGACTTTGCTTGAGGTTATCAACATCTTTTGTCCTAGAAACTTCTGATCTGACAAATGCTTATCAGAGTGTCCATGCTTAAGGGTCTGTTTCAGCACAGTAATAGCGTCAGACTTGTAAGATACGACAGGACTTACAGCAGATTGCCAGCAAATCCAAAGACTTTCTTCAACACCATGGGGAGCAAAATTAATGTAAGTTGTTTCAATTATTAAGTCCAATATAACTGAAAGTGTCTTTCACTGGAGCAGTGTTTGTCTGATACTTCATGAGCTGGAAATACATTTGATGAAACTGCACCATTGTATGCAAGTGTCTCTGATATGGCTCCATTTAAAGTTCTTGACACAGTGATTTCTTAATCTGATGTTCAGTTTCAGTGATCTCTGTGTTAAATTACCTCCACTGAAGATTTTTCTCAGTTCATTTAGTGTTCAAATACACTGCTCCCCAAAGAAATCTTTAATGGGAGATTCAATGACCAGAAACAAACCGTTTTTCAGATACGGGCTGTGGATTTAAGGAGTGACACCGTTTCAAAACCAACAGAGGAGATGCGCAAAGCCATGTTTGAAGCTGTGGTGGGTGACGATGTTTATGGAGAAGATCCAACAGTGAACGGTACCTCATTACCACAGAAGTTATGCTCATTTATGAACCATCATGTGCACCACAGTGACCGTCTTTTCAAATGTTGCGCCATATAATCACACAGATGATTATCAGTATTTCAGAGGGATGTACTTTGTCCACTGTCAGGATCAAAGATTAAGCTGATCAAGCACAAAGCAGGGTATTTGCCTGCTGTTTGCTTGGCTAACACCATGATCCTGATGATCGAGGCAGTTAATTTCTTTGAAACTTTGGTAAATTTCTATGAAGCTACATATCATAACATTGCAGGAGGTACCACTCTTCATTATGTGAACTGCTTCCCGTTTCAAATAAAGGGAGTTCCCAGAGCCTGTTTTAGCAATGCGGTCAGTAGACACTCGTGTATTTTGTATCTGAAAGAATTCTATTATAATTGTATTTTCAGTGCACTTTAAGAGGTCCTCAATCTCGATCCCTAAGGACTGCTTACAGAGTTATGATTCCTGTTATTTAAATTTATTTGAATCACTGGAAAATCTCAAATTCATAATATATTATGGTAGTAATGATTAACTGACAATTATGTATAATTTCTACTTCATAATTCTGTACATCAATGGCTATTCATTTCTGCTAAATGTGTAATGAACCAGATATTTCAGTTATGTTAAGAGACTGGCTATGGGATGGACAAAACAGGGCTCACTCCTCTCCACGGACAGAGCATCTTCTTTTTGCCACATGTCCATATCAACCCTGAGGTTCATCTAACATATCCAGTGGATATGAGGGTTAAAGTGGCCGGAACTTGACACTCACCATTAACCTCATCTAGTACTGAAGCATGGAGCGTCATCTGTTTTGTTTTTCAAGCAGCTGTTTTCTAACACATTTCTTCACCGAAATTCTATATATAGCTTTTGTATCATATATTAGGTATATAATGTTATAAATAAAAAATTATTACTTGAAAAGTGATTCATGTAACCACAGCATTTGTGTTTCTGTGTCTTTGCAGCAATGGAGGAAAAAGCTGCAGCTATTCTCGGAAAAGAGAGTGGTCTGTTTGTACCAAGTGGGACAATGGCAAATTTATTAGCAAGTATGTAAATTATTTTTGCTAATGAAATGCTTATTATGAATATGAGACTTTAGTAATTTTGTGTGAACACTTCAGATGTTTTCCCTTAAAAAATGCAAGTTCAATAAATATGCTATTGTGATAACTTTCAAATCAGTGTAATTTTGATCTGTATTGTATTAATAATGTTTCTTCCAGTTATGGTTCACTGCAGTCAGAGAGGAAGTGAAATGATATGTGGGGAGATGAGTCACACATTCTTGTTTGAACAGGGTGGTCCAGCACAGGTATGGCAAGTTCATCACAGGATGTTTCACAAAGAACTGCCCAACATAATCAGAAAACATACACAGCATGAAAAATTAGTCCTATTAATAACTTCTCGTCTCAGCAAATATTTCTTTGACATACTGATTACATCAATGGTGAATGATTTTTCTCCAGCTTGACTGAAACTGAAGAAACATGTAAAAAGATGTTTCCTCATCTCTGTTTAGCTTGGAATCAGCTATATGAATTGTGTAGGTTATATGCCACAGTATTCTGAAGCCACTAACCGCATTAAATATCGGGGGGAGAATACTGTAAAGGTATCAACTCATTCAATAATCTTCCACTTACAATTAGAAGCTTAAATCATGATATAAAAATACCTATGCCTGCATTAGAAGATTATATGTTAATTCCATCCTTCTACTCTGAAAATGATTTAATGTCTACTGAAATATTTTAAGCTTTACGTACATTTACACATGAAATAAATTTCTGTATTCGTATTATGACTTAGTCTGCATCCTTTGGTTTATCCCAAAGAAGGATCTATGGAACACAAACAGATATATCCACAGCTCTGCTTAAGTTCCAAATCATTGTTCTCATACATGTCACTGTGACACAGCATGGTTGTCAGATTTGTCAATAGAATGCATACTGAAACATACCTAAGAATGCATCTTATGATGCAACAGTTGATACATACTTCTTGGATTGAAGCCACATTTAGTTTCTTTAGTAATGACTCACAAAACCAAATTTCATCAAAACCCCTTTATCCAGATCAGTGCTATTATATAATAAGCATAAAAGTCACAAACCATCAACACTAGTTTAAATTTATAACCTGCTACACACATGCACCAAGCAGGTCAGTGGACAGGCAATGGTGTAAACAGCTGTTTAGAAGGCACTCAGTCCCAATCTCAGCCATCACATCTATTCCACATCTAATTTTGTGGGTTTCCTCAGTCATTCTAGGCAGTGTCAGAATAATACCTGGATTAGACCATCACGAATTCCTTCCAAATACTTTCCAGTTAATTATTCACTGCTCATCCTATCAGCCAACATTATACAGCTTGAGATACTGACATGTAAAGTAGAAGTATCCTCGTAACAGGCCATGGAGGCCCACAGGGTTGTGAGATGTTGTGGTTCCAACATTTTCTAGCCTTACGCACTGGCTGCCCTTTACCCCCAATAATATTCCTGGTACTCATTTCTGTTAGAGGCTGAGTCAGCCCCAGGGCCACAGTGCGGCTGGAAGGATTAGGTCAATTGAAAAAATCCAATGACCTCATCCAGACTTGAACCCGCGACCTTCTGACTTGTAGCGTAGTGCCTCAACCAACTACACTACCACGTGCACCCTTAGATACTGACATGTTGTCAAATAAACCACAAAACAATGAAGTAATATGCTACACAGTCTAAGTGAACTTAGACGCTAAGTGAAAGTGACGTAAGTGATTTTCTTTCAAGAGACATGTAACATGCAGTCTCGTACAAGTTTGCTGACGTCTCTGAGGAATATACTGCATCCATGTTCTGGGCCAAAAAGTTAAGCCAAACAAGCAGCAAGCAGTCTGCAGTAAACTTCTACCAGACTTCTTCATGTCTGGTATTATGAGAACCTCAAATCCAATTTGCTTTCAGATTGCTGGAGTACAAATATGGCCACTTCCTAACAAACCAGATGGTACATTTGATTTAGATGCTATGGAGGAAAGAGTGCGAGATCATGCAGATGATCATGAGCCAGTGACATCTCTCATTTGTGTTGAGAACACACAAAATTGGTGTGGTGGAAAAGTGTTACCGCTGAAGTGGCTGGATGATGTGAGTATTGCAGGAAATGATTCCCATGAAGTCAGTCAACACCTGCAGGGGTTAGCTACACCATCTGAAGCCTTATGACCACCTTATAGTTCCTACCTCACAGCTTCTCCATCCTGAAGACCACCCAGTTCATGCTGTTTATGGAAATATAATATATATAATATTTTTCCCAAATTACAATGTTACACCCTAAAAATTCTAAAGTTTAAACATCAGAATGGTGCTCACACCACTGAATGAACTAAATTCAACATCAGTTTACCTAGTGCGCAAATCTATTCACTCACGGAGCTGAGCCCTTCTTGAGGAGCTGCCAAATCTGCAGCTACTCAAGAATTTCTCAGCATTTTATGGAACCCAAAGGTTCGTTACCATGTTTACAAGAGCCCTCCACTGGTCCCTATCCTGAGTCAGATCAATCCAATCCATAACATCCCATCCTCTCTCTCTCTAGGATCCATTTTAATATTGTTCACCCACCTACATCTTGGTCTTCCCAGTGGTCTCTTTCCTTCTGGCTTTCCCACAAATATCCTATATGCATTCCTCCTCTCCCCCATTGCACAAATCTATTCAGTAAGAAGAATAAATTTGTGTACTCATATTAAAATATTTTTGTCGAGTAGCATAAAGCAGGCCAAATACTTGCCCAACAAGCAATCAGACCTCAACATTTGTCCTACACACCAAAAGATATAATGTTCTACAAGAACGTTTTATATAACCACTTCCAATTTATCCTGTATTTAGAAGGCTTCCAATATCGCAACATTCCCATCCATGTCCACTGTCGCAAGGTTTGTGCCACCAACTTAAGAATTTACCACTGCATTATGATTTGCACTGTGTTGTGCCTTCTTTCTTTACATTCTCTGGCAACTCTCCTAAGGTCTGCAGACAGAACAACAGGTAGCAGGAGTTTCATATTTTCCCATACTAATGATCTCTTTCCTAATTTTCGGCCATGCCATAGTTCAGGCAGTCAGTTGCTAGCATCCCACTATGGTAGCCCAGGTTAGATCCCAGGTCAAGTCCTGTGGGATTTGTGGTAGAGCAAATAGCCCTGGGGCACGTTTTCTCCGAATACTTCAGTCTTCCCTTGCCAATTCTCATTCCACCAATTTTTCCACATTCATTAATCATCACATCCTCTGATGCTATACCGTCGACACCGACAATGTCATTAATTAAATTAAAAAATCTAATTTTCATATAATTGATCTGTAGTTGGTAGCAATGAAGTCAGAAATAAAGTGGATGAGGAGGTCTTAACAGCATGTAATTCTCTCTCAGCTGGCAACGAGAGCAAAGCAGCTCAGCATCCCCCTACACATGGACGGTGCTCGACTATTCAATGCCGCAGTTTACCTGAATGTACCGGCATCGCGTATTGTCAGAGATTTTGCATCTGTCGCATTCTGTGTTAGTAAGGGACTTGGTGCTCCTGTCGGTGCAATACTGGCTGGGAACAGAGATTTCATACGCAAGTAAGTGCCTGTATGCGCCTCATTCATAGGAGTAACACTTCAGATTATGAAGTTTACTGAAATAATATTTCAAAACTTTGTTCACACCTCACACAAAACACAGTGCACATCCACTGCAAAGACCAAGTGAGAGAAATGTATATAAATTTCACATATCTGCTGCTCTACATATGTACCTTGATATGCTACAATCAAAATTTATTTCCCACCAAACAGAAAAAGGAAGACAGAGGAAAGTATACTTGTGCAACAGACTTTGGATGCAGTCAATACTGAAGGAATATGAATCTCTATCTTAACAATATTCAAATTGACAAGAAATTTTAATTAACAACTAGGAATTATATTTTTTAGCTTATTTTATGATACCATCAGTATCTCAGATTTTACAGTGTCAGATGGAAAGGATTTTGAAGCATCTGTGACCCAGTCAAGGTACTATCCCAGCATTTGTCTAAGAGGGACTGAGGAAGATCATGTCAGGGCAGCCAGTCTCTTGGCCAGTGTTCAAACTGAGCACTCCCATTATGCCAACCCATTCAGGAATGTGATACTAATCTCACGTTATTATACACTATCATGTGTCCTGAAAAACAAATAAAATTACATAGGGACTTTATGCATATTCTGTATTAGGTTTTACTTCGCTCAGAACATCCTGTCTAGCACAGACTATACCATGTTGCTCCACCAACCTACTCGGCAGTAATCATACATGTTGAGGTTAACATCCTGTGCCTTACCAATTAAAAGAACACTCAAGTATGAGTGATTTTCTTACTAAAATTTGTGTACTGCCACAGGGGCCGACGTCTGAGGAAAGCTCTGGGTGGTGGAATGAGGCAGGTGGGTATCATAGCAGCAGCAGGAACTATAGCACTTGATTCCATGGTGCAGAGGCTGGTGGAAGATCACAGGAGAGCTAACGCCATAGGAAAGGGTGAGGGAAGAGTACAGCCATCATAAAAACAATGAACTGAAACAAGAATGTCCTCTGAAGATTAACTTTCTTCTGGAATGTTACCCCCAAAATTAATTCCTGCTGAAAGCCTTGTTATTATCAGCAAATTTAAAATTGTTATTCCCGAGATTTCAATCACCTGTTCCTGGATGATAAAAGTGAGCCAATAAGAGTGTTTATAAGCATGGAGTAATGAAATGTTCTTTATGCTAAGACAAAGGGCCACAGGTTCCTACCATGTGTAACATGTGTGTGCTTATTCTTTTCAGCTATTGCTGAGTCAGGCAGTAAAATTTTTCAAGTTGATTACAAGAATCTCCACACTAATATTCTCATGATAAACATCAACAGCAAACAAATCACCTCTAAAGAATTCTGTGACCGCTTAGCCACGGTAAGATTATAACATAAGTGTCCATTCAGTCCTATACAATGTATTCAACGTTGAGCAAGATTCATATTTTTGAACACATAAGTGATAATGAATGCACGAAAATGTCTGATAGCGGTATCACTCCCAATCACTATCTACCAGTGGTGGCCAAACTTACCGAACATTTGGGCTGCATATGATTATCATATTCAGAAGTCTGGGAGTCACAAACAGATGTGGACTTCCAACCTGCTCTCCGAGCAGCAGCTTCTTTTTGTATGTTTTATCCATTTCTAAGAAGGGATTAACTAATACTTTTTTCCACGAGTCATACACAGGCTGTGAGCCACAGCTTGGCCACATCTAATATACGTATGTAAACATTTTATATCAATGCCTCAATTTGAATAATATTGCTACTATATATGTCACATCATTCAGAAGCAAAGAGAAAAGAATTATTTAAAGGTCAAGTAAAATAATATTAAAAATTTTACTCTAATTTCTACAGAAAACATATAATATACAAAATTGTTACCAACAGGTTACTGAAGATGAAACTGCTACGCTTGGACAAAACACAGCGATTATCAAGATCTGTCCTGTAACAAAGAATTCTGCCCGGCTTGTTACTTACTACGAGATCACAGACTCCGATGTTGAAGCAACAATTCAGAAACTCAAATTTGTTATGCATGAATACGAGTCATGTTGACCACAGAAAATGCAGCTTAAAAATGTAGACATGATTGGTGTATTGAAACCAAACTGACAATGTTCATAATAAAAGACAGCACAAAATGATACTAAGTATTAAGATAACCATACATAACCTCAAACTCTGATAACTGCATTCAGAAATCAAACGATATACCAGTAAATAACACACCTGATGGCCTAATCTGACATCAATGGGCTCAAATTAAACTGTATTACCTTAACTCATCAGCTTCCAAAATTTAAATTTGTAGTTCTTGTGTACTGTCAGGGCCTGCAGGTCCTGTTCCAAGTCTCATGACTGATCTGACATTTTTTCATGCATCCCAAAATTTCTGATCTTATTCATTAATTTTATAAAGAAGGAACAGTGAGTATAATTTGTTCGTAATTATCTTTCAAACCAGCTGGCTGCTATATCTGAACTTGGTATGAAGGTCATGCTACCAGCGGCAACCATTTTGTCATCTTCTGAACTCATCACTTTCAATTATATGGAAATGGTAGCCACTTCTTGGTGGAAGAGAATCCTGAAGTCTTGTGATTATCAGACCTTTTAAAAATGAGCCTCCTGCCACAAAATGCTCAGGGACATCCTGTCAACTAGTTTCAGCACGAGTCCGCTGAATGCCACCTTTCAACAAGATAACAAATTTCCTGTATGATTTGAGGTGGTGGTGATTCATATTGTGGTTATCAGGGTTATGGCACCATGCAGTCTGGTAGGTCGATACCACTGTTTTTATCCTGAAGATGGAGGCAGTATGCTCCTGCAAAATGTTGGAAATCACTTACCTGACTACACGGTTTATAACTCGGTAACCCTGAAGGTCACAATGAAAGAAACTTCCTTCCTCTGTACCCAGTCAAGTGCTGGGTCAGAGATGAAGGTCCCGACTTAAACAGAGAATATGATAATGTGCTGCCTGGTAAAGGCTATATCACACACCTTAGAGAATGGTGACAGATGAATATGCAGCAATGATTACCAGAGGAAACCCAAAGAAACTCGAGGGGAAACCTGCTCAAATGCCATTTCATTCACTACAAATCTCACTTGATGTCACCTGCAACTGAACCTGACCACAGTATGAAACATATCATTCTCTTCATTCGCCACTAACATTATACAGAAGCATGGAAAACTGGAAACTTGTGGGTCAGGGTCTTACACACGTATCAACAGTGTGGTCTACACTAGGTCAGGATATTCTGGAAGAAGCCACAAAAGGATTTGAAATACAAACACATACAATTCTGTGGCAACAGTAGCATTCATTAATCACTTTCAAACCACAGAAAAGGAAAACCTTGATTATTTCCACAGCCCACTACCAAGCTCCAGTCCCAAACTGCAAAATCAACAAACTTCTCTCATATGTTCAGTGCACATGAAAATATGTAGGAAGCGAAAACAAATGATCACAAAATCATAGCAAGAGCAGAAAGATTCCTGGACACCCATACATTAGAATTGTTCTAGATACATGTCATTGTTACATGAACACCACAAGAGACACTGCCCATCATATCCAGTTTCTTGTACAGTTCAGTACAATGAACCCCTTACACAAAAAAATATATTTACTATCCCACATATAAAACTGCCATGCAGTACAAAACAGGAGAACTGATCACGCGTGAAAATACACTTCCATCACGAATCCTGCCTGACGCTTAAGAACTTGTTCAGAGCTCACATTAAGACCTAATACAGCGTATCCATAACAGTAACTTTTACCTTTTAATTTAATTTGCAGGACACAAATGACAATGTATACAGATTGGTGATTAGTTTCGCTTTACTGAAGAGACTAGCATACCAGTAACGCTCTTGTCTCTTGTCTGGGAGCACTGGCAAATGCTGGGATAGTATCTCAACTGGGCCACAATTGCTATCTTCCAAATCCTCTCCAATTCACTGTTCACCAGTCACCCTATCATTCCATGCTATACGGTTTGTGACACTGATGGCATCATAAAGTATCACACAAAAGAAAACCCACTTTGAATCCAAGCAACTAACTGTCACAAGACTGTAGCCAATGCCAAACTGTTTGCAGACACAAAACAGACATGGACTTTATGGACACCCAATAGATCTAATTAAAGTGCATGTGGCTCCAGAGTTATCTTACCATGTGAAAGTAACAACTGAAGACTGATTCTCATTTGTGAGACTCACATGGAAAGTCACAGAGATTTTCTGAGTATGTATTTCCTGTTTTGTTCTTATGCGCACACATACAAAAACATGTGAATGAGTTAAGACTTACTGAATACTGTTTCATTACAACTGAACTTCATCTGAAGTAAAGCAACAACTTATTTCCACACACAGAAAGCTGTTATATACACAGTTTTCCCACAGCATGCATTTGCAAGCCTCCCTTAGTTTTCACACCCTCTAACAATATGGAATTACATGCCAATCGGATAATTATACTCTGATACACACCATTAACTTAACATTTTCAGTAAATGTTTCTTGGGTATAATGCTGTGTAGTTTAGTGGAGAGGCACCAGCACAAAGAGACGAGGAAAATGCATCACAGGATATGTTACATGATCTCTTTGGCTTTACCTATCGAGTTTTCAGTTAATTCATGTCTCCATGTCCAGTATCTGTAAAGCCTGGAGAAGACTAAATGTATTCTGAAGCCTCTAGGTTCAATGATGTATTATTATTCTTGTTCCAACAATTAACAAATGACTCGAACATGAATTTTAACGATGTATAATCTTTACTTACATGTTGTTATGTAACATACATGAAAAGATCAACATGACAAAGAGCCAAACAAATTTCAACAACGAAACCATCAATGCCCTTAAGAGTGGGAATTAAGACTTACAAACTTATTAAATAGTCAAAAGGCTGTATTTTAAAGATCAACTTCATGTTCTTCAAATCTGCTGCTCAATACTTTGTAAGAAGCCATGAATACAAAAGCAGTTCTCTAAAAATAATGTAATAATTCCATCCCATACTCCTTGTATTTATTCCATGCTGCAAGAGTCCTGCTGTAACAAATATTCTTCATTCAATTTTAGTAGTTTCCTGCCAATCTGACTTGCAGGTCACATGTAGTCTTACAAATTTTTTAATTTTGCTTAACTTTAATCTGTGTTAAGTGTTAAGCTGTGATGCAGCTTACAAATCATTACCTCACCCATCGTGCCACAGAACAAGACAACATCTGAAAATGGCAGGGAACACACAACAATCACCTGAGTACACACAAATCTGTTCTTTGCATGTCATATGGTAGCAGTGTATTCTTAATATTTAATCTCTGAAGAATTAGAAATAAGTGGAGATCAAAGTTTAAGAAACGTCTGATCCAACCACAGCGTGTTTTTTAGGGGGGTGCAGAGTCTCATATTTCACACTCTGATGTGCCATTACTGTGTAACGTCTGATATCTGCTTTCCATTATGTGCAGGGAAGTCATAAAATTGAGAAGGTTCGCTGAACTTACTACGAACAGGGATGGACTGCAGCTGACTCAGATTCTCTTTATAGACGAGTACGGATACAGAGGCTGGAAAGTGTTGTCACCTGAACAGAAACAAAACTGACCATCAGATATGAAGCTGTAAGAAAAGATTTAACTGAAACTGCAATTACAATGAACCTTGAATTAAAATATTGCAGTTTTGAACGTTCTCAATTTTCTGTATGAGGTGCTGCTGTAATACTGCTGTCAAGGAGCATATAAACATGGCGGTAGCAACCCTTTCTATACTATTCCATAAAACCTAAAAAATTATTAAGTTAATTCCAAAAGATGGTAATTCCAGCTGGTCAAAATGAGAGAAGCAGAATATGAAAAAATGAACAGAGACAAATGATATACAATTAAACCCCGATTTATGGATTCTTTTGAGAATAGCAAATTTGAAAACTAAGCTGAAGTAAATCTTAAACGGAGAAACTATGACCACTGACACTGAGCATTAAATCAGCTAGACCTCTGAACTGAGTTGAGGAGGATGAGATGGACAGGGCAAGTAGCACACATGGCAAAGAAGCAGAATGCATACACGATTTTGGTGGGAAAGCCACATGGAAAGAGACCACAAGACCTATATGTAGGTGAGAGGATAATATTAAAATGGAACTGAGGTAGATAGGATGTGGTGGTATGGACTGAACTGATCTGGCTCAGGATAGGGTCCAGTAGAGGGCTCCTGTGAACAAGGTAATAAAATTCCAGGGTCCATAAAATGCTGGTAAATTCTTGAGTAGCTGAGTGATTGACAGCTTCTCAAGAAGGGCTCAGCTCGTGGAGTTGGTGAATCAGACACCAATAGTGAGGAGCAATACATGTGGGTTTGTCAGTGTACCTGAACTACAGCTTCAAATGTAAGATCTGAGGTTCTTACAGCAATGAATTATTGAGACTGCAGATTTCTGTGGTGGAGGGAGCAGCTTCCTCCATGACAACAGTAACTTTCATCCTGTTCACAGCCTCAAACCCACTCACCTGTCTCTTCATCATCTGCATCTTCATTGTCGGACTCAAATGTGTTGTCTGGGATATCGTAGAGTCGAATCATTGGCTTGTTGGGGTCCTTCATAATCAGATATTTGCCCTCCTTCTGCTTCATGCAGATATCCACAATACAACGAAGTATACCCCATGCATTGTCCATGTTCAGGTTGATCTGTGTTGCAAACTCATTTGGCTTATACTGCTGTGTACCCAGGATCACGTGTTTGGACGAGTCTCGAACATGAGCACGAGAAACATACCTACAATTATTACAAAATATTTTATTCACAAACTGTGCATGGCAATCATGGCACTTTATTAGTGACATTAAAATTCTTATGAATTTATCTTTATAGAGATATGAATACAGTGAGCCCCCCCCCCTCAAATTTAATGTTTATTTTGAGACCAAGAGATCTGCACACTAAACGGTGGAAAATCTTAAATGCAGGAATTTAATACACAGACTACTGATTTTACATTAAATGAGGGAAAACCTTAAACTGAGTAACAGTAAATGAGTAGTTCCACTGTACATTAATTTGATTTGACATCCAATTTTGAATGACCCAAAGGCAATAATCTCAGTTTGGGTACTCTAATCTGCAGTTAACTTAACGGTGCTCTTAGCAGTTCAGACCACAATGTACTGTAATGGATGTGGACGGAAACAGATGCAGCCTAATTTTGTACACTCCCCTAGCAGCATATGCCTCAATTCTGACACTGACTGCATAACTAGGCAAAATAGATCTCAACCTGGGACAGCTTTCTATAGAACCAGTTTCACAGCAGTTCCACCACTATAATCTGTCCTGAAGTGTAAAAACATCAACAGAAATGCTTCTATGGCGATAACAGTTTCATCATCAGCCCTGTATGGGGGTAAGCAGGCAGTTTCAGGCTCAAGTCACTTCATCCCTGTGGAAAAAACCACTAATGATCACTGGAGGGTACCAGAGCCGATCTTGAGATGGTTGAAAAGAGAAAAAAGAAATAACTGCACCTGCCAGGAATCAAATCCCAGCAGTCCAAGAAACAGCCTGCCACTTCAGTGATCAACAACAACTGTACGTACCCAAATTTGATCTGGTCTGACCCTGCCAGAAGAGCCTGCACAGTCCATTTTGCAAGTTTGCAGGCATTATTTCGTAACTCATTTGCAAGCACAGCTCCCCGTTGAGTATCCAACTTCTGACGCCACTCAACACCACCAGAAAGCTGCAATACAGAAACATGCAGCAAGATTCAATAATTGGGTCTCGTGGGACTGCTTCCGCCACTCTAAGAGTGTGCAAGTACGCCATGCTGAACACTAAGAGGGTGACACATACCTTAGAATCCCATTCATTAAGTGCCTTGATGGTAACAAACTGCAGTTCACCATTAGGGCCATGCATTACAGCATCATGTTCACACCGAGAAATTAACACCACTCCATTATCCAGATCCCACTTGCGATATCTGTACGCTACTGAAGCCACCTCACCGGCTTCTTCTTCAGAGATAAACGGGTTGCCCTCATCAAACTTATAGCGAGGTTCACCCTAATATGGCAAGAAAACAGAATCAATATAAAAATCATCCTAAATTCCATTTGACAGGCATGGGACCACAGCATGCGCGTGCGCACACACACATGCACACACACACATATCAGTGCTACAGGTAATATGATCAGAGATGAAGGGTGAGCTGTAAATATTGAGCTTTGAGGTTCTCATAGCTGTTACCGTGTAGCGCAGTACAGATCTTCGATTGTTTCAGAAGAACCTGCTTCAGCTTCTACGTTTTCCTCCCTATCTTGCCATCTGCTTCACGCATTAGTGTTTCTTTTTCTTTTCTCTCATTCATTCTGCCTTTTACAGGACCACTTCCCTTATTGTTTCTCCTGGCTTCCTTTCCCTACTACTGGTCCGCCCGGCCATTAATTCTCCCAATCACTTTTCCTTTAAAAGGTCAACTGGTCTTTACATTTCCTCTTACTGTGACTGGTTTGCTCAGGGCCCAGCTTCTACTTCTTCCTCTCTCTATCTGTATAACTTCCTTGCACATTCCCCTTTCTCTTCTATCGTGAAGATGGAAGCAGCAGGTTTGTCTCAAATGCTCACGACCTACGAGACTACATGGCATCACACCCCAGATTAGAGTAATACTGTAAATATTCTGTTTATACACATTAACTTTCGTGGGAGACGAGGAATGCATAGAGGATATTGGCGGGAAAGCCAGAAGGAAAGAGACCACTGGGAAGACTAAGGCATAGGTGGGTGGACAATATTAAAATGGATCTTAGAGTGATAGGATGGGATGGTGTGGATTGGATTGATCTGGCTTGGGATTGGGACCAGTGGAGAGCTCTTGTGAACACGGTATGAACCGTTGGGTTCCATAAAATGCTGGGAAATTCTTGAGTAGCTGCAGATTTGGTTTCTCTTCAGGAAGAGCTCAGCTCCATGAGTACATGAAGTAAGTACACATTTGCTTTTGGAGATATGCTGAACTTTGAGGGTTGTGTAACCTCTAGAGCAGGGTTTCTCAACTGCCGGGCCGCAGCCCAGCATTGATTATACCAGGTCCTTGACTAATAAGAATACAATTACCAGGTTGTGGTCTCATAAAGTTGGGAACCAATGCTCTTGAGGGCCCATCCCAGGGGTACTTTTTTTTATTGCTAGTGGGGTGGGACTAAGTCCCTTGTACTGTGGCCACTTCTGGCCTATTGTACCAGCCCCAGATGATAGGTGAGGGTGATTGTGGAGCAATTGGTGGAATGAAGATTGGCAGGGGAAACTGAAGTACTCGGAGAAAACCTGCCCCAGCGCCACTTTGTCCACCACAAATTCCACTTGACCAGACCCGGGATCGAACCTGGGCTGCTGCGGTGGGAAGCCAGAGACTAACCGCTTGAGCTATGGCATGGCCATCCCAGGGGTAACAGGACAGTCGCCAGATGTGGTGGGGTGTTATGAATATAATGAGTAAGGACAGACAGCCTGGTTCCTGGGCTCAACATACAGGATCATCTAGCACCATAATATAGCGGGAGTCCATCTGAAAGCCTTGGCGAGACAGGCAAGGCTCAGCCAGCCAGACTACACACATGCAATTTTGCAACACCACAACACTTGGCTGGCAATGTCTAATTAAATAATTCAAATAGGCCCAACTGAAATTAGATCTAATGAATTTATATCACACCAAATTAATTCTGACTTCTATCTTGAGAGTGACTATCCAAATTTAAATAAACAAAGAACTTCAGTTACCGTTTTGAGCACTTGCTGGGAGAAATTATGATTAATGAACGTAGCTTCAAGGGCCAAGTTACGGGGAGAGTTTAGGCTGTTGCCATCATCCTGCGGGGGCTCCACTGATGTCTCATTTACAGTCAGCAGATCTGCAACACAGTGGTAACACAAGACATTGCGACTGAATGTGTCTCTTCTACTGACAAGACATTAGCAACGAGATAGTTAGATAACAGATTACCAAATTCTGTGTTGTCTCTCTTGTCAAAAAACAGTTTGTCTCCAATCTTCTCAATCACAATGTCCCAAGAATAGTTCGAGCGTGTGCAACACATGAGTGTAGCTAGAATGGCATCAGTGGCATACACATTGCCCTCTGTCTTACTGAGCTTACGTATCACCGGGTCATCAGTAGTAGTCACAGTGTGGAAGATCCGGTCAATGCGTTGCAGAGGTTTCTCATTTTTCACATTGACACGATCATATGTCTTATCATAGTACTCCAGTGACCCACAGCAACTACTGCAATGGAAATACAACTTGTGAATCATAGCACAATTACTGCTGCTGTTACTACAGCAGCAACACAAACAAAAACATCATCATCATGCCGCTGCTGCTACAACAAAATATCTGTCAAGCTGCATGCAATGTTCTGGCCAAAAAACCGAAATTAATGGCCATGGGGATTTGGTGTGCTAACCACGCGACACCCTTTATCCTCTAAAAGTTGGCGCTGACTTCACTGACAAGCGGTGGTCGCTTGGTCGATACAGTTTGTTGCAGACTAAAGCCACGGAGTTAGTTCCTTTGTTTTTTGCATGCAATATTATCTCCCAATTCTCTAATTTCTGCCCAAAACGTTTACACAGACCATAGGAAACAGGCTGCAGTACTGGAAAAGTTTTGTATCAAAAGCCACGTTTTAATTACACTAGAAAAAGACAAATGTTCACCTCTGATATTTCTAAAAATCACTGAAACACTGCATTTATTTCTGTGATTAACTTACATATCTTCCCCCTCCTTGACATTTGGCAAAGACAATTTGGTAAGCCGAGGGAAATCCATTTCTTCAATAGTGATCCAGTCGGGACGCACCGTCACAGAAGCATCACGACTCTTGATTGGTGGCTGGTTTTTGTTGTTGCGCATACCCTGGCGCTGTGGCCATTTGCGCTGTTGTCTTTGGTTCCTAGTGACATGTGGTACCAATTTGAAAACAGACAAACACTAGGATAAACTTTTCACCTGCAAATTCCTGCTCTCGGCATATGAAAGACAATCCTCAAACTTCAACTCACTGTCAATCAATATCATCTGTCAGACAACTTGAAGGGCATGTTTAGACCGTGGCAGTATTTCAACTCATCAACGCAAGGCAGTCATATGCTCTCATGTGCTCCTTTCTTGGCCAAAGAATGCATTATGAGCATTTAAATGTAGGTGCAAAGGGCAGGCCAGTTGCCATTTAAAGAAACCTTCATGGGGTTACACACAGGTAAGAGATTAGGCTTCAGATATCCGGTGAGAATATCTCAGACAGCAGTGACAGCGTCATCACTCACTGCTTTGTATGTCACCGTGAATCATAAATGTCTGGCTAAGAATGTGATCTTCTGAGATGTGACACAGTGCTGTACAGTAGGTTACTAATGTTTTGGAGTACCATCCACTGAAACATTGGTAGTAAATGAACCAAACCGCAAGGCATCACATTCCACAAGATCTCAATATTAATACTCACCACTGTGAGAACGTCAAATTGCATGAACACTTAGGCAGCAGCCAGGGATATTCTTACTCCTTTTACAGGGACTGGGGGGGGGGACATCCATTTCTCTTACAGAATCCAAAAATGCTTATTCATTTAGTCATATGCCTTGCCAAACATTATTTGATGATCAAATTAGGAATAAGATGTGGAGGGCATGTAGCATGCACAGAAGCGAATGCATACAAAGTTTTGGTAGGAAGACCTGAAGGTAAGAGGCCACTAAGATCTGGGCATACATGGCAGGACAATTATAAAATTGGCTTTAAAGAAACAAGATTGTAATGGACTGGACTCATCTGGCTCAGGATTGGGACCAGTGGTGGCCTCTTGAGATCATAATGAACTTCTCTGGGTTCCATAAAATGCTGAGAATCTCTTGAGCACTGGAGCAACTATGAATTAGCTTCTCAAGGACACATCTCTGTGACGCTTGGTCCCGACTTAGTCAGTCATAACAAAACACGGAACTGTATTGGATGTGGACACAAAAGCTGACAGTAGTAAGTACAGGTAAAGCTAAAGTTGTCCTTGTGCTTAATTAATTCAGCACCACACCATGAAAACACATGGGGGAGGGGAGTTATAGCTCCACCATCAACCTTGGGCACCAGATGGAAGTGAGTGGTCTCGGTTCACACTCTCGCCACTTCATCCCTGTTACACATTGGACAGGAGGCTTAGTGTGTGCCCCAGGGCTGATCTGGATACTATGGAGAAGAGAAAAATCTTACCCCACCTGGGAACTGAACAGTGACTTCCCAGCTATCCACCCTACAACCTATAAATATTAAAAAGAAACCTGCTTCCATCACACACATTTATCGCTCTATTACAGTTCAGTTTGGTAATCATCATATCCAGCTGACTGTCAAGGTGACACTGCTCATCCATCCATAAGAGAATATATTTATTGAAACAAAATATTTATCACCTGTCTCTCATCTTAAGACCCTTGCCCAGCAACTGCAACTGACTCTGATGAGAGCCCCGCTGTCCACCACGGCCACGCAGGTTCCGCTGATTCTGACGGAAACGGCCTCGCTGGTACGGTGGTTTCTGTACACGGGTTGTGTCCACCAGATGGAAAGTACTCTCATCCTCGTCATGGTAGTATGCATACTGACTGCCCCCTCCAAACTGAGACTGGTACTTGTCTGGGCAATAGAAAGAATATCCGTATGCCACTCATCCAAACGTTTTTACTGTGCTTTATGACGCACTATCAACTAACATAATCACAGCAGTGTCCATCACTTAACTGTTAAAATGGAAACCCAATCTTGCTTTGTCACGACAGAACCTTGGAGACCGCAGCAATAAACAGCAGTGTTTCAGTTGCGTTACAGGAAAAATATATCCATAATACTTGCAGCAATGTACCATCGTCACAGACTTCTAGGTCTTACTTGCAAAACCAGTGTGGACCTGGTATATATCCCCATTTTAGAAAATTTGAACGACTTGTCCAGAGATAGGGACTAGCTCTATCTATTGGACCCAATGAGTAGGTTTTACCTGAGGACAGGGATATAATACATGTACTTATATCCATCACATTTAATAACCTTCTTTCCATAACTTCTCTAGTTAATGCATCTGTATTCCCTGAAATCATAATTATGAAGGTCCCTCAAGGGCTACAATGTGTAACAAAGAATCGATGGAGTAATTTTCTTTTGAAACAGTTGCTTGAGACAGCAAATGTCAAATTTTGACACTGACTTTTGAATGGGCATACTGATGCTTCCAGGCCATTTCTTGTTGTTCTTTGTTTGACTTACTTTATGACCCTGAAGATGGAGGCAACATTTTACTCCAAAACACCATTTAATTTTCACTGGACTACATACATCATTACATCCCAGAAATACCAAATTTACATATAAACCATGACGACGGCTGATGCAATGGAAATGTGTCCCAATATATTTTACAATCAAGGCACTAATATTCATTTTATTTATGACAATTTGATTTTAAAAATGGATCCATTTTAGCTGAACAATTCAACAGTGGCATGTATAATTCATGTACCACCTGATGATCTAATATGATCAATAAAACAAGTAACTGTTGTGTTGACAGTCAAGAAGTACCTCAATTTCATTATACACAATAAGATGCAAAAAAATAAAGACATCTTACTACAACTTACATTTGTACTAACAGCACAGTGAATAAAATAAATAATAAATAGTTATGCGCTGTCAGCAGTCTTACATAAATATATATTTGTATGTTTGAACCATACTTGAACAGTAATTCAATTACAACTGTACTTCTGGTATTATTTTCTATCAGCAAGCTGGCAGTCGTCATTCAAAGTTTCTTGTAAAATGCAAATATTACTGAGACATAGCACATGGTCTTACAGAATCCTGTAATCTCCACTCATTTATCTACATAATAACACCATCAATGTCTCAAAACTATGTAGCAGCAAATGGGCGGATCTGTGACTGTGGAAGGAAGCAGTACAGGTCTACTGATATGCTGCCTGGCATCTGCCTAGAGGAACTGAGAAAACCATAAAGACCGCAGTCAGGATAGCAGGTCTATCATCCAACATTCAAACCAGGTAGCTCCTCATACAGACCATAAACACTGCTGCTTGAGCCAACTTGTTTGATTAATACTCTACAAAATGTTTAGAAGAATGGGTTGAAGTAAATAAATCTTAAAATTTAATTGGAGGTTCATAAAATAAAGTGCAGCAGACAGCACATGCTGAGTGATAACTGCATAATGATGGTATCACATTCAAAATTATCCAAGGTCCGGCGAAGCAGGACTTCATTTAAGGCCATAAAACAGTCAAGTTTGAATCAAAATGATCTGGCAAATTTGGTGATGTTACTGACACACAAATGGACTTAAAATCAAAAGGTAATATTAAAAAATATTAATTTTTTAAAGGCAGCTAAAAGTCAGTTGCCTCTACTGTATCAGAGTTATTGTTAATTGTTCAACTGGCTACATATTATCCACAGCTGCTGTAGCTTTTCTTGGTTCAACATCTTTTTGTATAAATTAACATGCCTAAAAAATGAAAATCATAACAGTACACACTTTGATTTCTCTACTTATTTCGAATCCGAGGTTTTTAAGAAAAGTGTTATTAATGTGGGCATTAAATTATATAATATACTTCCTTTGGAAGTTAAAAAGTCAAAGGGATGTAACGAATTTAAGCATAAATTAAAATTATTTTTATTTGATCGTCCTTTCTATACATTGAATGAGTTTCTTCAACAGGGACATGAGGAAGCATAGCAAGGTTTTTTTTAATTAACAAAAAAAGAGAAGAAAAGGGAATTGAAGTAGTTATTGTTATATTTTTAAAATTCTTAGTGGTGTTGTAAGGCAAGCACAGTTTTATTTTTAGTCTAATACATTCTAGGATTATAGAGCTTTTAACAATGATGTATTTAGTGAGTTGACTTGTTCAAGTGTTGCAGTTGTAACAGTATGAATGCAAATAAATATGAATATGAATATGAATGAATTTACCGTCTCAGAGCAAATTATTACTCACTTGTGTACTTCTTATCTTGGAAGGCTGCACCTGTCCAATCCGATATCTGAAATTGAAACATTCTTTAAATCTAATATATTAACCACAACAAACAATTTCCAATAAAGGTATTATTTCCGGAAACGCAAACACGATATTACGACGACTAAGATCCACAAACTTCAAACATATGTCTTCACGACAATTTCACGTTTATTACCTTTCCTAGGCGATCTCCTTTCGAGAAAGGCTGATACGGCATGTCTTTAAATTGATCCGGCATGTCACATGGCCCCCAACCAGTTGGATTATCTTGTATAACGGGTGCAATAAAATGTGGGACTTCTTCCCCTCCGTCCATTTCGTCCATTTCGACAGTAACTATTAAGATGTATATATTTTATAAATTATAACGTCACTACCACACTACGCAACGCAAGCACCGACCAAATGAATGCGGAAACCCGAACAGGGGGAGGGGAGTGCAACTGAGAGGGGGGAAAAGGAAACACGGTAACTACTGCCTCTATGAATGACTGCAGAAACTTCACGCAGGTCTCGACCAATCAGAGAGCCTAAGCAAACCAAGTTGAATACCCACAATTATATGCGGTTATGGTGGTGCATTATATGAAAATTGGTAAGTATGAATTTTGATTTGACGTGGTTGCGAAACGAAAGTAGACAGTTTACACAGAAGTACGTCTTATATACATACAAACTTATAACCATAATAACACATAACAATATAAAGATACTGTTGTTACACACGACAGTAAACATCACTTAACTAACAAGAAATAACCTAGTTCTTACATTGTTTACTACAATGTTGCCAACTCTAACATTATATTTGAGTGTTGCCAACATAACACTCCCCCTTAAACAATTTGGGAGTTTTTTATTTTAAATACTTATTCATTGTGAATATATAAAAAAATTATTATTATTGTTTAGAACATCATTCTTAGCACAATCCAAGTGAATTAATAAAATCAGTATGTTTCCGTACATTTAAGCCTTTCGTGCAACCATCAGCAACTAATTGATTTCCAGGGATGTAATGTACTGACAATTCATTTGATTCAACCTTTTCTCTTATAAAATGAACCCTTATGTCAATATGTTTTGTTCAGTCATTATTGACAGGATTTTTCACAATGGCTAAAGCACCACGATTATCACAAAAAATAGGAATCGTGATTTCCTTGTTACATATTTCAAACCATAATTTTCTTAAGAAAATGGCTTCTTTCGCGGTCTCTGATAACGCCATATATTCTGCTTCTGTGGTTGACAAGGCTACAGTCCTTTGTTTTTTACATCCCCAACTGATAGCTGCTCCTGATAGTTTCAACACAGATCCACTAAAGGATCTACGATCTAAATTTCCTCTCCAGTCTGCATTGGAAAACCTTCCAATTGATCATCGTTCTGGGAATATACAATACCTACATCCTTTGTAGTATTTAGGTATTTTAGAACTCTTTTTAATAATACCCAGTGTTCTCTTGTGCAACAAGTGTTAAATTGACTTAGGTAAGTCATAGCAAAGGATATATCTGGGTGCCTGCACATGGCTAAATACATTAATGATCCTATAGCCTGTTGATATGGCACGTTATCTAAATTCTCAGTTGATTTTCTTGATTTAGGCAATGGTTTCAGTTTGCTGTTTGGTTCCATTGGATGACTTAACTGGTTTAGTCTCATTTGGAATATTAAATCTTTTAAGAACATTGTTCAAATATTGAGTTTGGGTCAACTTTATAGTTTTCTTTGCCCTATCTCTTTTCACTTCCATTCCTAAACATTTCTTAACTGGTCCCAAATCCTTGACTTTAAAACATTGTTGCAATTTTCCTTTTAAATTCTCAACTTCAGTATTGTCATTGTGAAATATGAAGTCAACATACAATGCTATATTAATTATAGATATACCCTTTTATTTGGCACCCCGTTTGCCTGTACCCTAGGCCTTTTAGAACCTCTGTTGCTTTCTTATTCCACGACCTAGCGGCTTGTTTCAGTCTGTAAACTGATTTTCTTAATTTGCAAACTTTATTAGACTCCCCCTTAATGTCATATCCTTCAGGAAGCTCCATATATATAACTTCACGATCTCCATTTAAAAATTTGGTACAGACATCAAGGTGGTCAGTGTTCCAATCATGCTTTGCAGCTAAAGCAAATAACAATTGCATTGAAGAATGTTTCACCACGGGAGCGAAAGTTTCAAAATAGTCTATGTTGTGATGGGGGGCCAAGTGAAGAGCCCAAATTGCTTGCAGAAGGCAGTTACTGAAATCTGACAACAAGAAAGGCGAAATCGACTTGAGTTTGCATCCTTATTGGGCAATGTTTAGCTCTTATGGGACAATGTTATTGCAATGTAACCGATAATATTTTAATGAAATATACCTCACAGCTGAAAGAATACCTTATAGAACAAGTTCACAAAATGGTGGCTGTGTCTTGATCCTGATTATAATTCCTTCTGTCAAGCGCACCTACTAAACATACATTGCATACTTTAAGTCTTGTTTTAACATAGATTATGTTGTCACTACTGCAGTACAACACAAACATTATAATTAGTTTGTGAAACTCCTGATGCGTAACAATATGTTTCTGCAATAATTTATTATTAGCCATGTTGCTCAGGTGATATTTATGTTCGGCAGTTACCGAGTTCAAATTCTACCCAAGACACCAACTATCCAGATAGAAAGGTCATAGCTTTTCTCAGTCCCTCCAATGAATGCCACAACAGTACCATAGGTCAGGTTACTACATGTTCCGTCCCTGTCCTCTCCAATTCATGATTCATGGCATGCACTAACATTTGACACTATATAATATGTTCTTGGGACAGGGTCATTAAATAAATGACAAATAATTTCTTTATCCACACTTGGGCTGGACATCTTTCACATCCTCAGACATGTGCATATTAGCTGAAGAGAGAGAGTGCTGGAGTTAATTTATTTTGAAGACAAAAGGGAATATGAGTTCATGTTCTTAGTACACCAGCCTTTTCCCTGGATTTCGCACACAGTAATGAACGGTCAGATTGTGAGACAAAAAAGGTAGTTGTCCCTGTGCTTAACTAATTAAGCACTAAGCCATGAAGGCGTATGGGGGAGTGGATGTATGGCCCCACATTTTCCTGACCTCGACATTAGCTGGAGGTGTGTGGTCAGCTTCACACACCTGCTGCTTTGCCACCAGTACCCATTGGATAGGAAGTTGGGTGGATCCCCAGAGCCAGTGTAGATGACATGGAGAAGTGAAAATTCTTGCCCCCACTGGGACTCAAACTCTGACCCTTTGGTCATCCAGCCCGTAGCCAGTCGCTATACCGATTACGCTATTGTGAGGTAAGATATGGAAAAATTAAGGTTCATGAAACTAATATTAATGGACATGTAACTGCAAGAGGTGATTCTGGCAGTTTTTGAAATTTACTATTAATTTCACCATTGATTCTGCTCTTGTTAGTGATGGGCTATGGGATGGACAGCCAGGGCTTGATTCCCAGCAGAATGGAGTTTTTTCTTCTCCACAGCATCCAGACCATCTCTGGGGCTCACTCAGCCTTCTGTCTATCCAATGGGTACAGGGGCCAGGGCGTGAAGCCCACTCACCTCCACCTAGCATCAAGGTTGAGAATGGTGGTGCTGTATATCCACTCCCCATATGTCTTCATGGCATAATGATTAATTAGCTAAGCTCCTTTACCTTGAGTCTATGCACCATGTGGATGTAGGAAATGGTGTCAATGTTTCACAGGCACATACTGGCTTCATCTTCAGGGATGAGTGACTTTAAGTCTGAAGATGGAGGCAGCGTGTACCTCTGAGATGTCAACAATATCTACATCCACATGGCATAGAGGGCCAAAGAACAGAATCTACATCAACAATGATTCACTGTGAAATCATAAAATCAACAATTTTATTTTAATCCTTTTCATTATTTTAAACAAAGTTTTAGTACATTTTATCACTTAATTTTCTAATAAAGTTCTCTGTTTTACTTTCTCCTCACAACAAATTCATTACTATTAAATATCATTTTCCTTTTTAATCAAAGATACACGAATACATACTACACGTCATAAAAATTATATAATTCTTCACAATATTAAAATATATTATCAGCAAAAGAATTCATTTTTATCCTTCAGAAACAGAACGTGACAATACATATCATATCGACGAAGGAAAACTCACCCTGTATTGCTCTATTTGGGCACAATAAATGAGAAGATATATCCAATTTACAAGAAACTGCATTCAGCTCGCTAGCAGTTCAGCCAATAGCCATTATCCTTGGCAGATGAAGACAGGATCAATGTCAAAGTCCAACGAAACTGATAAGGAAACTTTTAACTCCTGAATTACAGTTGCATGTTTGTGCAAAATTCTTTGCGTTGGGTTCCACAAAGTAATTTTAAATTGTGATTTGGCTTGACCCACTTATCAACTGCAAGAAATTTCCAACCTTGAGGTTCTGTTATTTTGCTGACCTTGCAGAAATTGTGTGTCTGCAGAAATCGGAATATCACTTCAAGCCAATACTTCTTGTAACCTGCAAACAGAAAAGAAGTTGCATTTGAGGTTCTCACAACAGTGACTATGAAGAGAATATCTTCTGAAATGTACCGCTGTGTAGTCCACTAGAAGTTCACTGACATTTTAGAGGAAGACACTGCTTCCATCTATTGCTTCTTAGCATATTTTTGAACCTGAAGACAGGGGCAGTGCGATTCTGTCAAACGTCAATGAACTTCTATTGGACTGCATAGCATAGCATCGCATCCCAGAAAATAGTACTTATTTACAAAAAAAATATTTAACAACACACTAGAATACAAATAGGAACTGGGATAGCATACTCCGCATAGCAACTGGCTAAAAGCTGGATGACCGAGAGGTCGGAGTTTGAGTCCCGGTAGGGTCAAAAATTTTCTCTCCTCCATGTCATTGAGACCAGCTTTGGGGTTCACCCAATCTCGTATCCAATAGGTACCAGGGGCTCTTTCCCTGGGAATAAAGCTGACCACCCACCTCCAACTAGTGCTGAGATCAAGAGAATGTAGATCTATACATCCACTTCCCCATACGCCTTCATGGCGAAGTGTTTAATTAGTTAAGCACAGGGACAACTTTACCTTTACCTTGGATACAAATGAAATACTGTTAGCTAAACAAAACCTTCAGATGAAAATATCTAACCATGAGTTGGGATATCTGTTATATTATTAGCACGGTGACAGAATCTACATGCTGTTGGGAGTAGCTCTTCCTGTCAGACTTCTCCCCTAGCAGTGTGTATGAACATTGAGACTGCCCCTATGTCTCACCACTGAGCAGGGTGGTGTATCAGTAAGAGTGTAGACTGTACCCAGGTGGTGCTTGGTTCAAATCTCAGCTGGAACACCATGTAACCTGTTAAGTTTTTGTGCCTGTTCTCAGTGTGTCCATGCAAATGCCAGCACAGTACACCTCAATTAAGCCATGGCTGCTTCCCTTCCAATTAATTAATCACCCAGTCACTTGACACTATACAATCTGATCTACTGATCCCATCAATAAAATAAACAAAAAAGCATGTCATGAGGATGTATGGGGTAAAAGGTAAAGCTATCCCTGTAACAGGCCATCAAGGCCCACAGGGTTGAGACATCGAGGCTCCCACATTTTCTAGACAGTCGGTTCACAGATGGCAGTATGGGTGTCAGCCTTACGCGCCAGCTCCCTTTTACCCTCCAGGAAGATTCCTGCTACTCATTTGTGTGAGAGGGTGAGTTGACCTCAGGGCCATAGTGCGGCTGGAAGGATTAGGTAAATTGAAAAAAAAAAATCCACCTCATCAGGACTCGAACCCACGACCTTCCGGCCTGTAGCATAGTGCCTCAACCAACTACGCTACCGCATGCCCCCAAGGATGTATGGAGAGACAACATTTTTAGCTTTGGCACCAGGAGAAGGTCACCTTGATGATTCAGCTGCTTTACCCCTGGGTAAATAGCTCCTGGTACACAACAGACAGGAGGTTATGTGGGTCCCAGCGCCATTCTGAACACAGCGATGAAACGAAGATATTAACAATGCCTGAAATCGAGCCCTGCCTGTCCAAGCCGTAACCAGTGACTTATTACTGACCTTCTTGTTTACACCAATGGTATGGAATTTATGGATTAGCTGAGCAACTATCAACATCTCAAGACTCTGGTTCATGATGCTACTGAAACCAGGGCAGTAATCTGCACAGGATAGTGTCTACATTTATGACCATACCAAACACAGGTCAAGTAGATGGCCCTCCTGTTTCATATGTGGAAGGTCCTGTGTTCAAATTGCAGCCTGCAGACCAGTTACCCTGAGTAAGGATTTTCTTTTCTCAATAAATCTACGCCACAGTAAGTAGAAGCATTGTTAAATAAACCATAAATAAACACACTTACGCCATCTGTAACTGAACAGACCTATTTTCTCAACGTTAAGTGTATTCCTGTTTTTCCGATATTTATTTTGATATATACACTGAACTGTTTATTAAAGAAACAATTTAATTTTTTAGATCAAACAGATCATGAAAACCAGAAGTATACAGCACATACACAGATCCTAATTAATGTTGTGTCATTCCCATGCTGGAAGCAGCGTCATCAGCAGCGACTTGAAGCACAGAGCAAATGATGCTCGAGATGGATTTAGTTCGTATAGCAACAGGCGTGAACAGAGTGGTTTCAATGGCTGTTGTACTGCGATGTGGAAAGCAAATGGAAAAACTACCACATTATCACTTTTCCTGGATAGTCTCTTTCCAAAAACAGAGATACCATGTATGCGACCAGAAGACGAGGAAAGAGACGTAAGAAGATGCTGGATGACCTTGGGGACAGAAGAGGATATTTTTATCTGAAGGAGAAAGCTCTAGATCGCATTAAGTGGAGGAACTGTTTTGGTAAAGACTGTGGACCTGTCGTATGACAATTACTGATGAATGAATGAATTCCCATTCTCAGCAGATAGAGCAATATAAAGGTTATCTGTTCAGAGGAATTGGCACGGTTTCAAGGCCTGGCTTCTATTTATAATAAGATATGGGAAGGAAGAGGAGTGAATTGGTGTCCCAGAGCTGGCAAATGGAAGCTCATGGCAGTGACTATGAATGTTACTGTCTTCTTGGATGTGACATTGTTTAGTTTGGTATACATTTATCGATTATCTTCCAAAACATCAGTAAACATCTACCAGACCACATGAAAACACATCCCAGTCTGCACCCTCTAATTTTCAAGGGATAACGTAGTTAGTATAGCAACTGGCTACAGGTTGGACAACTGATGGGTGGGAGTTCAAGCCCTGGTAGGGTCAAGAATTTTCTCTTCTCCTCATCATCCAGACCAGCTCTGGGGCCCACCTAACCTCCCATTCAACGGGCACTGGGGGCTCTTTCCCTGGGGGTAAAGTGGTCAGGGCATCAAGCTGACTACTCACCTCCAACTAGTGACGAGGTCAAGAAAATGTGGATCTATACATCCACTTCCCCATATGTCTTCAAGTCAGAGTGCTTAATTAGTTAAGCACAGGGACGACTTTACCTTTACCTTTTTACCTGCCAGCCACAAGAACTGCCTGCTAGAAACACCAACGCTGCAATAGTATGAAAACTTGTTCTTTCCTACCCAATTCCATCTATTAACAGAAATGTTCTACTAAGTGACTGATATCAAGCTGATCTCATTGGCTCTAGCGGTTTCAGCACAAGCACACTAAGCCAGTCTCAGTGTAAACAAGCAGGATGTTGACGTAATGATTTTCTTCATGTAACATTCAATTTTCATGATCCCTAGTTAATAATCTCAATGTTACATTTCCACCCTATAAGATTTTCCTTAATTTAGTGTTCAAAGCCAGTGATCCCCAGAAGCCTTCAGAGGGGGTCTGTGTAATCCTGACCTGTTCGTACACTGTCCATGCCATAGCAGCCATCAATGTCCTTCGCAGCATTCGCGGCACCAGTCCCTTGAAGTAGCCTCGGACACCATATTTCTGTTGAGGGAAGAATGTAAACAGATGTAAACACAGCGACTTTCAGTCTCGGTGCCTCCGAACCCTTTCAGATGATTCTCCATGTCAAACTATACATGAATTGTATTTGAAAGAAGCAGAGGATGTGAGAACTCCAGATTACTCAAGTTTTTGATAAATAACACGTCAGAAGTCAGATTTCAGGTTCTAAGGCTAATCAGTAATAATTTTCAAGTTTCTTCTCCTGTGTTTGGATGATGTGTACCAACTGAAAATGTCTGCACTATTTCGAAGGAGTGGCTTGGCTCTAAAATCCAGTAAAAATTATGACAAATGTCATTTAATAACTTGGAAGTTAGTAAAATTAGAATCTATGCTTACTTTTCCTATACATGGAACTCGTCCTTATGTTTCTTTACGTTATCACTGGGCTGCTGCGATAAAAGCAGCATCAATGCCTTAATTTAGATTTAAAACAGATGAATCAGAAAAAATGGGGAAGCACTATATACATTTTGCCTCACTTTCAAATAGTCCATTAAACATTGCATTAGAATGGGCAGCTTCACATTCCGAAGTTCTTGGGTTGAAATCTCACCATGGAGACTGGCTATTGTTGCTGTGGTCTTTCATGTCTTCTCTCTGTCTTCAAAGCCTTTGGGCTCTCAGAATGACGAGACTTCGACTAGCTAAACAAGGGCTATGTTCCATCAAGTCATCCTCCAGGTAAATGCCATGATATGGCCATCTCCTTTCACATCCATTTCTACCCAATGTTCAATAATTACTGTATCACATGACACTATTTAGCCGAAGATGATTCTTAGAGTGTCTTTAAATAAGCCATAAGAAGATGTGTAAACTGGTCTGATGTTTGAACAGTACTAGCTTCTGGGATGTGACACCATGCAGCCTGGTATAAATTTAGCAATGCTTTGGAAGCACACACTGCCTCCATCTTCAGAGCTGAAGAACAGGCCAAGCAACCAACCGCATCCCAAACACTAGTACTGTTCACAGTCAGGCTGTGACACCTCTTGTCCACCAGATCTGCCATTTATTTTCACTTTGTACTATTCAAACAAAATACAAAGGAGTTACAGTCATTTTAAGTAGATTTGCCTCACCTGGTGAATATAAACAAGAACACTGTAAACGCCATTGAATTTGTTGGGGTAGAGTTGCATTTTGGTTTTGATAACATCTGCAGGCTGTGTCACAACTGACGCTAGAAGTCCAGCAACCAGACCACATGAGAAGCTGACAGGTGCTGCAAAGTTTGAGTGACGCCACTCTGAAAGAAAGGCACACAAGGGGTAGAGTTGCAGGAGGCATTCTGACAGTCAAAAGGAATTACTCACACTTTAAAGGCAGTGGCAGCAAGGCCTGTCACAACAAGTAGACTCACACACACAAACTTTTTTCAGTCTCTACTTGTTGCACCAGCTAACAAAATACAACCCATGTGTAGATTAAAACATATAAAATAAATATTTAAAAGCAACAGAGGTGATTACAAAAGGATAAGCAACTCTGTCCAGTGTGACTGATAAAATTCTTTCTTTTCCTTTCTTTCCTTTTTAAGCTTTTATCCTTGACATGTTTCGGTTTTAGTGACAATCTTCAGAGGGACGTATCAATGCGGGTAGAAACTACTACTACAGTGTGACTCGTCAGTACCAATACATACATACAATATCATCACAATGACATTAATATAATCTGACCCTTTAACAACTTGAGCAACGTGCATGAATACATTAAAATATATATAAATTATTGTAATTAGTCTGTTTACGAGTGTGGTTTAAAATTGATTTTGTTAAAAGTTTTAGGACCAATTTGGTTGTCCTTTATGTTGTCTCTC